TCCATTCCATGTTAGATCCTAGTTTTCAAAGAGAGTTGCATCTTTAGGCTGCAGTCTTGGCAGTCAAGCAACCATCTTTGTTAGGGTTGTGTTCTAGGCTTGTTCCAACACTGACAGTCACCCAGGAGGTGACATAATTTTCAGTGACAGTTGTGCTAACTGCTGTATCAGAATCAGGAGCCTTTTTGTCTTCCATTCCTGACTGTCTTCATTCTCCTGCTTCTAGCTATCCCTGAGTGTTGTGAGAGAACAAGTTAATTTCTTTACTAGCTACTTTGGGAAAGTGCATCAAGCTAATCATCTTCAAAAAAGCTTCTCAATTTGCAGTGACCCTTCACAGGCTGAGACATTTGTTGTGGTTTCCTCCAGATTCACATTTAATTTGTAGAACAACATCAGCTCCACATTAGTGTTGTCTTAACTCTTTCCATCACCAGACATTTATGGCCAAGTACTTTAGTAGCACATTCGAAGTCTCTACAGAGAACACTATAGCAGCAATTTACATTAACAAGTGGAGGGATCGCATGATGGAACTGTCCATGGAGTTTTGGAATTGATGTGTTGCTAGGGGCATACTCATGTTCGTTGTCTATCTCACAGGAGAGACAATAACATTGCGGGCCAAACTCTTTCCTTTATACTATAGGATAGTACTCATTGCCCCCCTTTTGGAGCTGTGCATTTTTGTTCTAGTGTCTAGATGGATTCTTTTAATGTTTATCCTCAAGTTCTACTTCTCACCAGAGTCTGGGTGAGATATTCTGATGAAGCAAAAAGTTTATTGTGGTGCTCTTAATCTCACATAACCAACAGTGGAGGCTGCCAGCAGTTGCAGACCTCAGGACTTTAAATCAAAGGATTGCCTATCATTTGAATTAATCTGATACCCTCAGTCTGATTGCCAGGAGGACCTGTCCGATGTGATTTATCCAAAGAACATTAGACAAGTGCTCCAAGCAGCTCTGCATGGCATTTTTATCAAGTCAGGTGATTTATATTAAGAATTTATGCTATTCTTCACCACACTACCCATTGTCATGGATTTTCATGTTCCTGTTGTTGAAATCAGCCATTTTTAATGTTTCGCCCCTTAATAGCCACCTTGCTGTAGTCTCAGCTTTTCATTAGCCAGTGGAAAGCTCTGTAACCATTGATAACCCTATGTCCTGCTGACCTGGAGCTTTCCTGTAGTCCTAAGAATGTTTATGGGAACGCATTTAAGACTACTTTCTATTTGTAGCTTTAGTATGATTTTTGTGACTGTCAGATCAGTTTACCACTGAGGAACTCTGCATTCTTGGGGAGGATATTCAGTATTTTGTTCTACAGTAGTAATGTGCTCCTAGGACTAGATGTGACATTCATTTCAACTGTAGTTTTTGGGTTCCATTTGAAGCACCATACCCATATTCTTTTCTTTGGCAGCTATACTGTTGACATCTGCTTGGTACCTTCTGGATGCACAATTGCAGGTCTCTTAATAGATTATTGTGTCTTACTGATGCTGCTTATGTTCTGCATACCAGTTACTGATGTTCTACATAAACACAGTCAGTTCCTTTCAACAAACCCTGATTATTTTTCATAGGATCAAAATGTCATATCTGCCATTGAGTCTTCCATTACTAGCTAAATGGGCTGTGGAAGCTATTGAACTGTTCTACCAAGCTACGAAGGTCTCTCATCCCAGAGGCATTCTGAAATCATTCTACATGAGCCACCAGTCCTTCATTGGCTTGCCTTTCGGCATGTTAATTGTGAAAATCTGAAAAGCAGTTATGTGGTTCAAGCTTTCCAGTTTCATTGGGCATTATCATCTGCATGTGTGGGACCAGCAAGATGCTGCTTTTTGCAGGCCTATACTTTTTTATTTAGTGTGAAGGCACATTAAGTCTACTTTTGATAAATCAGCTTGCTGTTCTCCCCAGTGTGTGATACACAGATATTGTAAAGAAGAACAGATTGCTTATGATTCTTCAAGTGATGAATCACACAAACCATTCATCATTCATGTGTGGGTGTGCCTTATTTTCCCTTTTCTTGGTGGGCTATTGTGATTGCTTGGGAGACTGAGCAGGAACATGCACCTTTGGGCAGGTCTGACTTGTCAACAAAAGCCTTTTAGCTGTGGAACATTCCAAAGACAGCACTGTTGTGTCAGAATCCACGTGTGAGAATGCACAGATCATTGAGAAAGCAGGATTATAGTGATCTAACCTGTTCTTTGTCCCATAGCATGTCCGAATAAAATGCGTACATTGGAAAATCAGGAGGAAGGCAGCCTTTAAATAAAACAAATAATAAATAAGATTGGAGACCTCACTACAAAGTTGTACGTGGTGATGTTCCTATCTATTCCTTGTTAATATGCAGGTTTATGAAAAAATAGATAATGAGCTTATTTTGTAATTTCCACTGCCATATGCATCAAAAGAATATTATTACAGAATACTGTGATTAAATTCTTGCTAAATTATTTAGACATATTTAAATTCCATTTCAGACATTATTTGGTTCATAGAGTAAGCTCAACCAAATTTATTCATTATTGGTGCTAGCTTCTGCTAGAGAATGTTGCTTTCAAGAATGTGTAGGTAACGCTGTATCCCATTTTAAAGAAAAGGACTGTACTAGGTCATTTGCTGGTAGCATATGAAATTTCCAGGTCAGTTTTAAGAATGCTCAAACTGATGAAGAATGTAGAAGTGCTTTCCCCTCATCCTGCTTACAGAACATTTTAAAAGCTGAATTTTTGGAGTTGGCTCTTGCTTTGCAAAAATGATTTATGAATTGGGCAAGTGCAGAGAAATTTTTTAAAAATAATTACATAATATAAATGCTGTGCCATGCAGTCCTATGTATGGCTACCCAGAAGTAAGTCCAACTGAATTCAATCAGATTTATCCCTAGGCAAGTGTATATCGAATTACCACTTCTGCTTGGATCTATGTATCTTTTTGCTCTCTCTATGGGCTTTTGATATAGGCTAACAAAGTGTTCAGAGGTCCTTATGTTTTATTTTTCATCAGTTCCCTCGGGTGGGATCATTTAAATGAAATATATAATATTATAATATGTTTAATCAAAATCCAGCTTTCCCCAGCCCACAAATATAAACCATCTTGAACAAATTGCCTTTCCTGTTTATATAATTCTGTTTTAGCAATACCATTAGTAGCATCTGTTCATAATGTTTTACTGTAAGTCACATTCAGTTGGATTCTTACAGCATGATTAAAAACGTGCATATTAATTCCACGATAGTAAATAAACTGGAAAATTAATTGGAATAATCTATAAATACTAAACCTCTTTTTAATAGTAAAAATATTTATGTTAGAGCAAATGATTTTTTTTCCAAAATTGCTATTCTGACTCAGTTACAAGTATATTTACTTAAAAGCAATGGATCCAATAGATTTCATTCTTCACTCTCTACTTACTTCTTCCCAAGCCTCCCTGGCATCATATTTGGAGACATCCAGATGCTTACTTATTTAGAAATTGCGCCCATATCCAATGTTATCCTAGAGTAGACCACTGAGTCAATGAAACTTACGTAAATGTCAATTTTTCAAGTTCCCATTGATTCAGCAAGTTTCCTCAGGTTGGAACTAAACATTGTAAGCCAAAGTTGGAAAATTACTGTCAAGAACACTCTCTATTTCAAATGGATTTCATATAGAGAGTTCTTGATGAACTGACAAGCTGTCCTATATAAGTACTGTACATAGAACCTCTGCACATTTTTCTTACAGTTTTGCCATTCATGAACAGTATGGTCATCTCCTGAACCTACACCAATAATCCTCTGTTCACACACCATATATATTGTTTTTATTTCTCGTTCTCTTTCCTGCTCCCTGTTTCACTTTTTCTGGTATTGTTACAAGTGGTAGACATAAACCCACTCACACTGGTAATTCACTATATTTAGTGGTATATGAGGTATTGCTGCACCGTGTACATGGAGTTGCCAGATGGCATTCGCAGTACAGTACACATCACAGATCTCTCATTTTTTTCAAAAATCCTCCAACTGCTGGTCATGTGTCCCTGTTGTGGAACAGTTGGCAGATATGGCTATGGCAGAAATGCCGTGCTCAGTCTCTTTTCCCTTCTGAGCTCTTAATGGTGACCTGTGTAGTCTGTAGCATATTCTTCTCCTGTTTCCTTACTCCCATTGCACACTGTTTCCCAAACCCTTCTAATTCTGTCTTTCCTCTCATCAGTTTTCTTTCTGTATATAATTTCATCAGGAGGGGGGGGGGACACAGGAACTGCATGAATTTAGAAGAAACATTTTCAGCATTTATTTTATTTATGAATAGGGTAATACAGTAAATGCATGTTCCTGCAGCAGCTGTAATCCATGCTCACTGCTTCACCTATGTGATTACAAGCTCTGGAGATCCATTTGTTATATCCTTACAGGGATGATATATGCCACTTTGCCCTAAAAGCAGGAAAGTGTCACTTAAAGTTCTTACATGTAACATACAATTTAATGCTGGATTTTGGGTTGGCTGGTTTTACTATGTGTCACTGAGCCAATTCTGGGCGAATCAACTGCTGTTGGCAATATATTAAATCTACCAGAAAGTATCAACCAATAAAATTAACCCTCTTGGAAAAACAAACAGCAATAGGAAAAAAAAAACCAACTGTATTTGGGAGCTAAATAAGTGGCTTTCCAGAGCCATGTGACTGTTTGGCATGCCTTGTATTATCAAGAATCTGATCCCTGTTTTGCCTCTTCTCCCTCTCCCCAGTTGAATGACTGTTTAAAGCTCTGTTTCTCAGGTGCATATTTATATTGAACAAAGTGGTGGCGGTGACAATTGGGTTATATTGCTGCTTTATGGTCCTGAGAAAAAAACAGAGAAGATCCTTTTGTTTCTGTCTTGATAGTGTTTATGCACCAGAGCAATTACCTGTCTTCTTATTCTTTCACTTTCCTTTTCATGTTAATGAGACATTTGTTTCCCTCTGCTTAGGGTCAGAAGGTATGAAGCACTTCTTTGATCTGGGGGAGACAGATGAGAAGAAATCCCAGATCAGTGCAGACAGTGCCGTAAGCTTAACGTCTAGCTCCCAGGTGAGTTCATTTCAAAGCAGAGAAGACACTGCTTTCAGTGTGAGTCTGTGGGAGGGAGGCAATATGCTCAACATAGAGAGTAGATATTCCTACAGTAGTGATATATGAGTACCAACGTGAGCCACTGGGGCTGGTGGGATAGAGGGCATGGCAGCGAACACTAGGCATAGCCAAGAAAGAGTCCACTGAACAGAAAAAGGAAACAGAGAGCCGGTCCAGGTGAGGGAATTTGGATTAGCCTGGTTTGCACGTAAAGGTTCTTATTTTCGATAAAATCTACTTTAGCTTTCACTTCATTGACCCTTCCTTTCACATTGGAGGTATTTATTCTTTGGTGAAAAGGGTCCCCATGGGTCTTTGGATTACTGATTTACTTGTGAGCAAGAATACTCATGAGCACTATCTACAAATAAAGAGGCAGCAACAGCAGCAGCCAAAGGTAGCAACAAAACATAGGGAAAACATTGGAGTGAAAGTTAGGAGATGGAAGTCAGATAGCCCCCTACTTTTCCTGCCTTTCTTCTTAGCTGGGTCTCTACTGAGGCTGAGCTGTCTTGTGATGGCAGAGCCCATGGAATCAACTAGCCCTGTTCCCTGCCTTTTCTCACAGGCATCATTCAGCGGGCACAGTGTTTTTAATTTATTTGTTATTGTTATATAAAGTAAGTGGTATATTGAAACAGCAATGCCACAACATAGCCTGGTGTTAAAATTGCTCTGTGTCCGTTGGGGAAATATTTTTAAAAATAAGATGAAAATAGAGGAGGGCGTTTCTCTGTCCTCCCTTTTAATATCACAACCCACCTAATATGTCACAGGGTTGTTGTGGCAATCACCCATGTCACTCAAGCCATTCATATTGATGAGCTGATGAACCTGTGAGAGAGGCGGAGTCAGCAGTTAGATGAGGCTTGGCAGGAGAAGGAGGAGTCAGAGATTGGGATGAGAGGCAGATAGAGATAGGGCTGGTTAATCAGAGAGAGGGAACAGATACTGAGAGAGATAGAGCTGGTTGGGAAAATAGGTAGAGAAGGTAATAATGATATAGCAAGAGAAAAGAAATATGTACTGAGAGAACTGTTGATGATTTGCTTATGTATAATGTGTATCTGAGAAACTTCTGTTATTATTCAGTCTGCTTCACTTCGATAAATACATTCTGTTTCTGTTAACAAGTCAAGTGTTCTGACATACATCATTTATATTGTGGACTGAAGTAATCCCAGAGTAGACCCAGTCTAGATGGGCGGGGTATAAATCTAAACAAACAAACAACCCACTATTGGCAGCGAAAGGAAAACGCAACATGAGCCTTTGTGAGGGAAAAACAAGCAGGGGCCACTAGGACATACGTCACAACAGGGCTGTCATCTCAGCTAACACTGCTGACAGCTCCATTTCAGTGCGAACTAACCATTTGCACAGGCTACACAGAGGGATAATTAGGAGCATGTTGAATCATACATTTAAAAAAATCAGATGTCTTTAGCTCTGTACCAGAAAGGAGTGGGACGAGCAGGATGGGTCGATCTGAGTAGAAGCACGTGTGGATGATGCAGTTTGATTCCAACCAAACTGTACTAACAGCAATCCAAATATCAATCTATATATGCATCTGGACAGTCCCTAAGACAAATTAACATTGAGCTTGCCTGCATAGTGGGGATTTGAGGCAGAAACTGAGGGACATCTCTATTGTGAAAAATAGTCTTTTGACACTACAAGCTGCAAAACCTATTTTGAAGTGAAGTGAAACTAAAGAAAAGATACTGGGTTCCTTCAGGTGAAGCATTTGTGGGCAATGTACAGAGTTTCTGTCAACAGTTATTTTTAAAAGTCGAGTTTGCTTCTCTTTAGGAAACCTCTTAATAAATTGTTCAAAAATATTTCAAAAAGCTGAAAGAAAACGTTTAAAACTATATTTTCAGTTGACTGATTGTTTAGTTGTGGATTAATACTAAGATTGAAAGCTTCTGACTGTAGTCTTTCATAGTACAGTGGACCCTTGACTTACAGACGGCTTGACTTACAGACTTTTTGAGTTACAGACTTCTCTGGCTGCAAAATTTAGGTTTGACTTGCAGACTGAGATTTGACTTACAGACCAGAAAAAAACCAAAATGGAACAAAAATAGCCTGTTACGGGATTAATCAGTTTTCAATGCACTGTAGGTCAATGGAGACTTGACTTACAGACTTTTTGACTTGAGAACTGCCTTCCAATACGGATTAAGTTCTCAAGTCAAGACCCCACTGTAGACAGTCACTTCTATTCCACTTTGAAAATCAGTTATCTTTAACACTAACTCTTCTTTAAAAATCTTTTAAAATAGTATTCTGTGCCAGATTTTTCTTGATTTGTTTGTTTAGTAATACAAGGGGGTGCTGATAAGTATTGAGCCTTTCCCACAAAAAAAAAATGAGCTAGGAGATTTGCTTCCAGTTTAAGTCTCTGTTAGTGGACATCCATTGCTAATCCATTTCAGATATCGGGTGTATTTAAAGAAAATCTTTCTAAAAATCTGGAGAAAGCCTTTAAAATCATCTTCTCATTTGGATTTTTCCTTATTATTGCTGTTGTTGTTTAGTGGTAGATTAGTGCTAAAACTGAAGGCTTGTGCTGAGAACCTCATTTAACTAAACTAAGTTTCCAGTGTAAAGTGAAACTTTTTTTAAACTACCTATTTGTGGAATGGATTGAAAAAGAGTGAGCAGTTGAGTTTCTGTCAGTCTTTGTTACTGCTGGTGTTGAGCCAAGCCTTGGATTGTCTGGAGAGCAGAAAAATTCAGATAGCATCAGTGAGAAATCAGGTACTTGGAGAACAAATATTCTGTCATAGGAGTCCCTTAAAATCAAGCTATAAAGCAGACTGAAAAATTTAGGGGGATAGCAAGGTATGAGGCTTCATGATGATTCCATATTCCCAGGATATCTTGTAAAAAACCAGGGGAAGTGGAAAGAAAGCGTAGTAAGTCACAACTAGTTTATGCCCAATTGACTCAATGGAATTTAGAGAGGAGTTGATTCACCAAAGTTCTACTGATTCAGTGGGCCTGCTTTACTGCAACTTATGCAAAGCAAAAGAATTTCAGCTGTTGGCCATATGCATTTTGAAGGATCATCCTATTCACTAGTGTCCCCCTGTTCAGGAGGCTCTATGAGATTCCGGACAGGATGGAGGAAACAGAGCATAAGAGCATCAAACACTCCAGTCATTGGCAGCTGCAATCATGGAGGGTGAAAGGAGACTGCTAACAAATGAACAGCTTGATATTTTTTGAGAAGGGAGAGAATGGTGGCAGGGCACTACCCTCCCTTAAAGAGAAATAGCCTCTGCAACACACATTCCTGCGCTTTCAATTGATTCTAGGCACTTGGAAGCTTGAGATATGAGATTTACAGTTCTTTTGTAGACTTGCCCAGATTTAAGTGTCTTGGCAAAGTCTCCAAACAGAAATAAGAATATCTAATGTGATTTATTTTTCTTCCTGTTCATTCATGATTATAGAAGAGTGATCTTGATTCTGTGACAAGCGTTGGACCTGCTGTTATGATCCGAAGCACCAGCCAAGATTCTGAAGTTAGCACAGTGGTAGGGCATGACCAAAGTGGAATGTCGGGGTTGGCTTTAGCAGTTGCTTTTCAGGCCTGTTTGGATGCATGCATTATTTCTAATTGTATAACTCTCATGCATAGATCTCTACTTCATATTTAATAAGTATGTACCAAATTGTACTTACTCTTCTTTCGTAGGTGTCCATTTTTACAGCTTTGTAATAGTTCCTTATTTATGTATTCACGAAGGCTTTCACGGCCGGGATCTAATGGTTGTTGTGGGTTTTTTGGGCTTCTTGGCCGTGTTCTGAAGATGGTTTTTCCTAACGTTTCACCAGTCTCTGTGGCCGGCATCTTCAGAGGACAGCAAACTGCGAATGCCATCTGGCAGTTTGCTGTCCTCTGAAGATGCCGGCCACAGAGACTGGTGAAACGTTAGGAAAAACCATCTTCAGAACATGGCCAAGAAGCCCGAAAAACCCACAACAACCATTAGTTCCTTATTTATTTATTTACAAGATTTTTTAGCCACACCATTATCAATGTTCTCTGAGCTTCCCTTTCTGTGTATCTTGTTAAATTATGGTGCCAATTACATAGAAACAAAGCTTAAACTATTGTTAAGGATCTTTATTTTACAAGAATAAATGATACACTGTTTTTTGTGTAGAGGGTCATGGATATCTTAATTTATGTTGTGGTATAAATTGATCCAAAATTTTCAAAAGGTTTGCATATAGTTCGTTTATTTTATCTGTTCACTACTACACCTGTGTGTGTCTAAATAGGACAATTTAAATTTGAAGATTTTTAGTCCCCATATATATAGAATAGTTTTAATCCTGACAGATTATGTAGAATCCCAAATAGTAATTGTTTTGATTGATATCTTTTTTACTTAGCTGATTCTTGTTTCATAATTTGGCAGCACAATCGTACAGAGCAGCACTCATGAAAGGGTGCAGGACCACAGGAGGCCACTTGTACCCCAGCAGAAGTCATTGGAGATGTTGATTGAATTAGCCTGCATCTTCTATATGGGGGCTGCACTACTGCCCTAGATTTCAGTCATTTGCAGCTACTTTATTCTGAGGGTGGTGGCTGAAAGACTGAATGTACAAATCACATATGGATTTATGTAATTGGCATCTCAGTGCAGTTTGTGTTAAGCTGCACAGCAACAGCAATTATGCATGCTCCTGTAAGCAATCACATGAGGGCTAATCATAGTATGAGTCAGTGAAAGGCTAAAGAGAGAGGAAGACAATGGATGTACCTGTGATAGACTATTTTAATTTCTATTCTGGAGCCTAAGAATTTTTTTTTTGTCTTTTCTGCAAATTTTGAAAATTTGACTTCCTCTCACAATATTAGTTTAAAAGATGAGCACGAATCCCTTATTTTTAAATCTTTTAGCTTCTTAGTAACTAGCAATAATGAATCAAGCCAAAAAACAACATTTTCACAATTCAGACAGTTTATTTATATTCTAGGATTTGATCCCAATATGGTGCAGGAGCCTCCTATTTTAGTTCTGAATGGATGGTGAAATTCTTGATATTGTGTTATTTTTTTAAGCAGCAATCTGAATACATTTGTGTTTCAGCTGTTTGGAGCAGGCATTTAAACTGTTTTTCTGTTTAGGTGAGCAACAGCTCTGGAGAAACACTAGGAGCAGATAGTGATTTGAGCAGCAACGCAGGTGATGGACTTGGAGGAGAGAGCAGTGGAAACCTTACAGGGTCACGGGGCACTGTATCAGACAGTGAAATTGAGACAAATTCTGCTACTAGCTCTATCTTTGTAAGAATGTGTTTTGATTTTGCTTAGGAGTTTTGTTAGTAGCAGTAGATATTGTTATAGATCTAGTTGAAGTGTAGTTGAAGGAAGGAAAAATAACTTTAAAAAGTTGCAGTGAATGTTGTTTATGTGCTGTCTTGCAAAGCATCAGGGAGAAACCCCTCAGAGTAAAGCCCAAAGAGTTATCCACCACAGCACAGTTTCCCCAGTTTTTTATACCTTAATTACAAAAGCATGGCAATACCCATGCTGTTGTCCTAATTTGCTTACCCCATAAGGTAGCCTTGAAACTTCTATAAGTAACGAGTTAGAATGCTTTATTCCCTGGCTACTTCCTTATATCTTTCTTGCTATGTAAAGACTTTGTAAAATGGTGATCAGCAATCATTAACATTATAGAAATGACAATTTGTCTCCATTAATTTTTTATTTATCTTCCATTATCTATGGAAGGGAATTTTGTACGAAAAGGCCCTTCCTTAGGGAAGAAGCATCACCACCAGTGGGTCTGTTTTAGGTACCCAGTGTGTTTATCTGTAAGTGTGTGCCTTTGAGTTCCCTTAATATTTCATAGGCACTGAACATAGAGATTATAATGTACATGCATCAAGCACATTCACCATTGAAAGTATGACTTGGCTCATAAATGCCTTGTGTGCCTTAATGGAGCAATAAGATACATATGAAGTGATTTGAAGCTGAGAAATGGCTGACATTCTTGTTCTAATTTTGTTGTTTATTTAATAGAATTGCTACTTCATTTGCAAAATAGCCTTATCAGTTGATTACATTACAAGAAGCAATACAAATACCAGAATAACCCAATTTCTGTTTCTTTCTGTTTTTCCCCCTTTTTTTCGGTCAGGGTAAATCTCATAGTTTAAAGCAGACAATGAAAGATAATTTGAAGCAGACAGTGAAAGATAATAAAGGTAGCAGTCCTGCGAGAGCTCCAGAAGATGCAAGCCAGCGAGTTTATCTCTGTGAAGGGCTTCTAGGTAAGAGTTAATATTTAATTTTATTTGAAGTGTTTTTGTTCAAAGAATAGATATTTTATTGCGTTAGTAGCACTCCTGCTCTAGTCAAAAAGTAATAAACAGGTGAATTGGAGCAATGTCTAAGGAAGTGAAGGCCCTGTTGAATAAGGTTTATGGGGGTAACCAAACATAGGAGAAAAAGAGCAGGGGAGTTGGAGAAGAGGAGCTTCAGAGAGAAACAAGAGTGTTTGGAGATGCCTATGGGGCCACCTGATGGGGGTCTATATATATGCTTGTTTGCTGTGAGTAATGAAAACAAGCTTGAGGAATGATTTTGAGAGAAAGAGAGAATAAACTTAGTGGCAGTTTGTGTATTGAGACTCAGACTCTACCTCTGTCTTATTCAGACTCTTGACAAATGTTATGTTTAAGCCTATGGAGTTTCTTTTTTTCTGAATTATTTTTGTGATTATCCACTCCCATGACAATGGTCATTTTGTGAATGAGCACCCCACCCTATCAACCATTTTGTAATGATGCCTGTGGCACCTTCTGAAAATCTCAAGTTGCCCTCCAGCCACAGAAAGTTGGAGACCCTTGATTTATAATAGCACCACCAATCAAATGAGCAATTGCTCCAACCATCTTAAAAACTGTACCATGATGGTTTCACTATTTTACCTCTTTACCAAGATCTAACCAAAGAGTTTTTAAATAGGCTGAGGCTGAGTAGCATTTAGGAATTATGGTGTTTATAGATTCACTATTCTGCAGAATCACACTGTAAAAACTTCAGGATGTTAAAGGTTAGCACATGCTTATGTGTTTGGACAGTCCAAGCACTCTTTTGGCTAGGCAGCATATTTGCGCACTGCAGTTTGTCTTTAACTCAGATCTCATTAACTCAAGACAAGTTGTTCAGTTATGTCGTGTTTTTCATTTCTCTTCTTTGCTGCCATGTTGCTGCTTGCTTGGAACTAAAAAGGGAGGGATAAAGGATCTGTCTGGGACCAGTTAGAGGATGCTGCCATGGAAACCTTCTCTATGAGTAATAATTTCTTTTTTCTGCTTTTCTGTGTGTATTGAAAAAATTCTCAAGTGTGTTTCTGTGCACTCAAACTATTCCAGTCCTTGCTCCTATATTCTGTGTCATACTCACTTTGAGAATTTTAATAGGATAGAAGAAAGCAATCTTACGGAATGGAAGGATGTTGTTGTACTGCTGTAGGAAACCTAGTTTTAGTTTATGAGCAATGACTAGAAGTGATTGTATCACATGCAGTGGATTAGGGCATGGAAATAACGTAGATTTCCTCATTTGTTTTGGTTTGATATGTGTTGTAATAGAACTGATTGCATTTTGGGCTGATTTTATAAATGTATGAAGTTACTGTATTGGACAATCTTGTGTGAGAGAAGAAGAGTTTATTTTCTGCCTCAAAAATATGGAAACTTTGCATTAATGTATTCAATGCTATCTAGGTAAAGAGCGCTCAACATTATGGGACCAGATGCAGTTCTGGGAAGATGCTTTTCTGGATGCTGTGATGTTGGAGAGAGAAGGGATGGGAATGGACCAGGGGCCTCAAGAGATGATTGATAGGTAGGGTACAAATTCTGAACACCCTGTCTCAAATGGGAGTGAAGGAATTCAAAATTTTATTCTGAGTAACAAGTATACCTCTAAATGTAGCATTCACTATATTCAAAATGTTTCTCTTGATGTGATTTCTTGAACCTTTGCTTGTCTTTAATTCAATGCCTACAAAATAAAACACATGAGACTTTGGAGATCTTTCAGAGAAATACTGAAAGATATTGGCCAGAATCCTATTCGGTCCACACATCATAAGCCCAATTAGTTTGTGGGATAATTTTGGATACCTGCCACACTCAGATATATTCAGAGTAGCTGCCCAGAGTAGCAGCTTGACTTGGGTGGGATATAAATATCAATCAATCAATCAGTCAGTCAGTCAGTCAGTCAATCAATGAATCAATCAATCAGTCAATCAATTTCATCAGCTCAGTTGTGAAACCAGGGGCACAACACACAGCCAAAACTGGATGTGTGTGTGACACTTGCAGTTTCCCTTACATGCATGTTATTTTGCATTAAGATTTTGGCCAATAAATTGTAAAGCAGGAAGCATTGTGCACTCTTTCTTTACTATCATTGGATGCAAGTTTATTGTTGGCTTCATTTAATATATATTCCTTCCTATAGGTATTTATCTCTGGGAGAACATGACCGAAAGCGTTTAGAGGATGATGAAGACCGCTTATTGGCTACATTGCTTCACAATATGATAGCGTACATGCTTATGATGAAGGTACCAATTGTTTATATTTTATAATTAATTGTTTGAGTTTTCATGAAACGCACAGTAATTATTGCCACAGTATGTATCCATCTTTTTTAAAAAAATGGATCGTATGCTTATATTACTGTTTGGTAACAAAAGAAAAGCTGTGACAGTTACAGAAATACATGTAAAAGCAATAAATGAAAACTATAATTAAAACTGAGCTATCAAACAGCGTTAAGGCAATACTTGAAGGCATTTTAAGAATGTTAAGAAGTTTGTGTGGGGATAAAAAGACATAATGGGCACCAGGAGTACCTCCCTTATTTTCAGAATAACAAATGTTGCTAGGCAGCAACTGATACAAATGGTAAGACATTTGAAATAGAGTTTGAAGTGCCAAGCCTCTTCTCCTCTAATGTTGTGTGCCAGCATAATCCTGGGACATGTTGCCCTTTGGATTGCTTGAAATTGGTGCTGATGGAAACTCTCTAGAGCAGGGGTCTCCAAACTTTTGAGCTTGAGCGCCACATCGTATATTTTTCACATTTTTGAGGGCCAAAGGAATGCATACATGCAAGCAACCCTGCCTGCACAGATGCTCCCCGCACGTGTGCATAGGCTGAAGGGAACAGGTTGGATAAAATGGTAAGGTGGGCTGGATGTGGCCCACGGGCTATAGTTTGGAGACCCCTGCTCTAGAGGAAGGACAGGATTAGGGTGCAAACCAAGGTCACCTCTTCTCATTCATGGCCTTCGATTTCTCCTTTGTCTCTGGGTTGAACTAAAGGAAGACAAGACAGCAAAGGACAACAACAAAAAAGGATTTTTCCCATCTCTGTGGCTTAGTCTGCATGCTTTCCTTTCCAGCTTCAGCTGAGTGCTGAGTCACCTTTGCTGACTTTGTTTTCAGGCAATTTATTTCAAAATGTGTTGACAAGAGAATGAGGGAACAAAATGGAAGGGATAGTAGGATGAATTAAATCCATGGATCACAGCAACATTGATTTTGACCATTTTGATTTGCAGGACATCATGTAAACATATTTTAATGATTCAGTCTTGGGCGACCTCAGCTAAAGCTCAAGATGATTCCACAAGAAGTAGAGTCCACACAACAAACACCTGTTCTCAATATCGAGGACAGATTGTCCACACTGAAATCAACCTCAACATCATTATTTTAAAAAAAGAATTAAAAATCCACATACTCTAATAATAGTCAGGCAAAGAAAACAAAAGCCCTTCATTCAGTGGTACTTCACCCATCAACAGCACAATGTACTCCACAAAACAAAGACCTTAGTACATTTGGGATCTGTTTCAGAATAAGAGATGTCTCAAGTTCATCTGTCTTTAACAACTTTCAGTCATTCTCTGGAATGGAGTCAGTTAACACTGACTTTGAGCAAATGTTCACCACTTTAGGAGAGCCAAAGAACGGAATGGAGTCAGTTAACACTTTGAGCACAATGTTCACCACTTTAGGAGAGCCAAAGAAGCTCACAGAATGAGAAATCGCCTCAGTTTTGTAGGCCATTTCATTGTTCCTCATCTGTTTTGATATTGCCTCTGTCAGTGAAAGAAAAGAGCTCACCATACCATAAGATGGCTCAGTCTTCACAACATCCTCAAGCTTCTGTATGGGAAACAATGTTCCTTATTATTTTGGTCCCCTGCCACAATTTTATGTGGGATCAGAATGGCACTATCCACTACCCTATTTCACCTATCATAGAGTGCAGAGTTGATTTATGAGCCCCCCAATGTCAATACACTGTGTTCATTGGTATGGAAGGCACAGGGATTTGGCATTGAAATTGCCACAGTCAAAGAGACTTATCATATATTGAAGCAATCCAATTGCAATCAGTGAAATTTGATGTTGGGTCTCTCGTGCTGACAAAACACAACAGAAACTAACATCTAACCACTCTAGGTCCTCAACACTGAAACAAAAATGAAAGGAAGAATCAAAGTGTTCAATACCAAACATAGGAAAAAGGAGATCCAATTTGGGATCCTCCTCATCTTCAGCCTTAAGATCACTGACACCGAAAATCATTTCATATCGAAGATCCTCAAAATAAACTATAATTTGATAATTTAGAGTTGCAAATTAATCAAGTGGCCATGGGGCTTGCCACCAGTTTTTATGGGAGGAAACTCAGTCTCTTTTAAACAGTTTGCCAGAAGATAAATAGACTCTGGCTTATCTTTCCAGCAAAATGCCATTTCTCTGGCTATGCATCAGATGCACTCTGCTAGGCCTGCAGCTGATCATGCTGTGAAGTGGCACTAAGGCATTAACGCATTGATTGGCACTACATAAACAAACCTTACTGGCAGTCCAGCTATGGGAGTAGAAAGATGCATATTCCTAATATTCATACTTGTAGCAAGGAAAGACAACCAAATGGCAAATAATCTAAAGTGACAAAAAAGTCAAATTTATGAATGAGAATTGTTTCCAAGAGTGTTCAAGGATGCTTGCAGTCATTGGGGACATTTGCAGTCATTTGTTTGCAAACCAAAACAACAAGAAATGCAAGATATGAGATATTGCTTATGGGTTAGTCAAAGAAAGGACTCCTTGGGAGATGCTTTTATGATTGAATGGTCAGAGAAGCTCCTCTGTTTCTACCCACCTATTCCATTACTACAAAAAGGTAATAGTGAAAATATGCTAGGAAAGAACCAATGCAATCCTCATAGCTTCATGGTAGCCACGTCAGGCTTGGTTTGCCACACTGAAGCACATGGCAACAGACATTTATCAGTTATCAGTAACTCTGTATTTAATGATGCAGAACATAGGGACTGTATGTTACCTAGACCTAACAAGGCTGAAACTGATAGTGAGGAAAAAATTTCCTGCATGAAAGAGAATTATGCTGAAATGAGAAAGCTTCAAATAGACAAAATTATAAATATAAATGAGGAAAATTTGTAAGTAATGCCAAGTCAGTAGAAGAATCCTATCAACTGCCTACTTTCCACATTGTCCTTTGATTTCTGTTATAGCTGAAAGAAGGAGGCTTATCCCATTCATTATTAAAAATTTATCAATTAGGCATAGCAGCACATCAGCCACAAGGCTCTACTACATTTTAATTCTTTAGAAATCTAATCTTTAAAGTATTCATGAGAGGGTTGAGAAATGTCTGTTTTAATGTGAGGCTTCCACTACCACAGTGGTCACTTACTTTAGTACTTAACCAACTTACGGAGCCACCATTTGAGCCAATGGCAACTTCAGATTTGAGACTGCTAACATACAAGTGTTTTTGGTGGCAGTAACATCAAGGAGGAGAGCAAGCAAATTATGTGCCTTTAGGCATGACCTGCCCATTTCCTGCAATTTCATAAAGATGTACATAAAATATTGACTTTTTATACTATTTAAGGAGAAAACAATTCAGAAAGACCAATAAATTGTTCATGAGTTCGTTCGTTCATTCGTTTAGTCGTGTCCGACTCTTCGTGACCCCATGGACCAGAGCACGCCAGGCCCTCCTATCTTCCACTGCTTCCCGTAGTTGTGTCAATTTACAGTAATGGTTGCTTCGCAGACACTGTCCAGCCATCTCAATCTCTGTCGTCCCCTTCTCCTCGTGCCGTCACACTTTCCTAACATCAAGGTCTTTTCTAAAGAGTCTTCTCTTCTCATGAGATGGCCAAAGTACTGGAGCCTCAGCTTCAGGATCTGTCCTTCCAGTGAGCACTCAGGGTTGATTTCCTTTAGAATTGATAGGTTTGTTCTCCTTGCAGTCCAGGGGACTCTCAAGAGCCTCCTCCAGCACCACAATTCAAAGGCATCAGTTCTTCGGCGGTCTGCTTTCTTGAGTTCATGAGTTACCAGGGACCAAAGAAAGGTGAACCTATTATGTCTCAACACTAAATTGGTAATAACATGATAGCCTTATACCAGTTAGCAAACAGGCCTTTATCTTTGAAGGGCCATTTAATGAGATCAATTGCTGCATCTACAATGTTCCTGAAGGGAATTGAAATGAAATATATTTGTAAAGCAGCAATATGTTCGCAGCCCTCAACCACTGGATAGCTAAGTGGTTCAGCTACTTGCTGTGAAGCCAGTGGTTGGGAGTTTGATTCCCCACTGTGCCTCCTTGACAGAGGCTGGACTTGATGATCCACAGGGTCCCTTCCAGCTCTGTAGTTCTAAGATGATGATAATGATGATGATAATTAGAGACTGAACATCAGTGCAAAACTTGTTACATTTGGCAGAGCAGTTGTCTCTTCTGTATTGGCGTGACATCCCACCAGATGGTAAGTGAGCTTGCCACTTACCCATAAGTGTGAATCATAGAGACTTCAAAGAAGATGGACCGGTTGTTTACCTATACCTGTAGTTCTTCAAGTGGTCATCTGTGAATTCACAAAACCCACCCATCTTTGCCTTGGTCTGTCACAGTGATATACTTTCAGTGGTGAACTGGGAGAACTGAGGATTGACCATTGGATTGGGGTGTGTTTGTTTCATTTCGACTCTGAAATATTCCAAAGATATCCATGCAGGTGCAGAAGGATATCATAGGTGTGAGTTTTCAAATGACCACTCAAAGAATTTAGCTACAGTTAAAGTGCTTTTCCTGTGTAAGTGCTTTGTCTATAAGTAAGAGGAGAATGATAACAAAATGTTATATTTTATTGTGCAGGTGCAAAAGAATGATATTAGGAAAAAGGTGCGCCGTTTAATGGGAAAATCTCACATCGGTCTGGTATATAGTCAAGAAATAAATGAAATGCTCGACAGCCTTGCTAATACAGTAAGTTTTAAAAGCCTCATTATATCTAAATCTTCCTTCTATAATTGGAGAATTAAAACAGAATGATTAATATTTAGCTTGCATTCCAGTAGATATGACATTATTCATTACCAAAAATACGAAGATAGGTGTGGCTCTCAGTTAATTATTTGTGCTTTGTTATGTGTTTAGCACCCTGTGTACAAGATTAATATATTACTGTATTAAAGAAACTAGTTCACATCTGTGGGTGGAGTTTCTCTTACTTTATGCAGCTTCCCTAGCATGATGCCAACAGAGCAGATTGCTTTGGAGGTATGGTCTCTTGTCCTGTGACAGTTCTGCTAAAAGATCCAATAATAGTTGTTGGGATTCCCATCTTTCTTTCGTATCCCACCTCCATCTGCATAATTGAGAAAACATAATTAAAATTTATATATAATAATATATTAAACATATACCTTAAAAACACAATTGGTACAATCTAGTCAAATGTAGGCACTTTCAAATCAAGCACTTTAATGAAGGAGATTTAAACATAGGTAGCAACTTGATCCAGCAGGCTTGTAAATTAAGTAGTTATGATTTCTGTATTTCATAGCACGAGGAAAAAAGCTAGTTCTTCTCTGAAATTGAAGTAGAGATTTATATATTATATTCTGAATAGCATAACACCATCAGTGTAACTTTTACTGGCAAACTGACACAAGTTAAGAACTCTGCATTGACATTTTTTTGCACACCAATCAATTCTCAATGTTTTAAAAATTAGTATTTGCTGTAATTCAGTCTCAGAGAATAATTTTGTACATGATATAGGGAAAATTTAATTTGCTACACCTGAAAGAAAGATTAAAATAAATCATTCTTAATTTGGATTCCCTTTAGAATGGCAGGGAACTCTCAATCCGACCCAGTGGCAGTAGGCACATCAAGAAGCAAACGTTTGTAGTACATGCTGGGACAGATACAACAGGGGATATCTTTTTCATGGAGGTAAGGGTCAAATTCCTTATTAACAAAGCCAACTACTGTTACTCGGTTTATGTTATGACTCCTATTTGAGAATATTTGTTTCTGCAGGTTTGTGATGATTGCATTGTGCTAAGGAGCAACATTGGCACCGTGTATGAACGCTGGTGGTATGAAAAGCTCATCAATATGACATATTGTCCCAAGACAAAAGTGCTTTGTCTTTGGAGGAGGAATGGACAAGAGACACAGCTAAATAAGTTCTACACCAAGAAGGTACATTTTCCACTGTTCTCTGCTTAGATGATAACAGGATGTTGCTATCTTACTGGACAAATTAAGGCTTATGTTATTTTACTCTTTCCCATGGCTTTGGCCTTGAATTAACCATTAGCTGACATGCAATATGAGAAAAAATTTAAATGCTGCTACCATAGATTGTTCCTATATACCACTTTCAATCCATTATGGCAATTTTAAACAATATTTCAAAGGGAGAGCTATAGGTGCTGTATTGCTAGCAAAATGTTACTATCCAGGTTAAGAATAGGAGAGGTGAATTAGTCAAAAATATTTATGGTATTTTTTTTTCCTGTCACATATTTAGATATATACTGTATTTTTCCATTTATAAATAAGATGACCCAATGTATAAGACAACTCCCCCCTTTTCTAACCCCAAATTAGAAAAAGCAGGGATCAAAGGGCTCCCTTTTTGCTAAGCCCCGCACTGTGGCAAAAGGCAAGGAAAGCAGCTGTTAAAGTGATTGCCGTTTTTCCTTTCAGAAGGCATGGAGCTTAGCAAAAAGGCTTGCTGTTTTTCCTTTCAGAAGGCATGGAGCTTCCTTTTTGCTAAGCCCTGTGCCTTGCAAAAGACAGCAGTAAAGAGCTGCCTTCCATATATAAAACGGCACTCAATTTTTTCTCAAATTATTTAAGGAAAAAGTGTTGTTTTATACACTGAAAAATACGTAAGCTTTTAGAAGGAACTGACACAAATTGCTTGTAATGAATTGCCATCTCATTTGCCTGTAAAATATTACAGCTGATATTCTTTCTCCAAACAGTATTTTATAGCAAGGTAATCACAGCCGATTTAACATTAATACATATTACAAGTCTATCCCACCTCCTTCAAGCTCACACACCTCCCCAGCCCCAGGAGGAAAACGCAGCCCTGGGGAGCTTCAGAACCAAAATTGGGTCATGGAGGAACGGGAAGCATAAAATGAATTTAAAATAAATGTTAGCAGTGCAATTTGTGAGCAGGATGTGGGCCAATAGTATTACTTAGTGGCTGAAATCATGTCGCTTAGCATAATAAGTTGCAACTAGAGCATACAACATGGAATTGACTCACCAAATCCCCAGTTAATCAGTGGGCCTGATCTAGTTGTGACTTACTACATCAAGCCACATGATTTCAGCTAGTGTGTTTTGCATCTCTCCTTTGCTTCAAGATACTGTGATGTACAGTAGACTATTCCATTTTATTCACATAATAATCCTAGATTCTGTTCTGTAGCTGTACACACATAGCCCCACCATCTAGTAGTTTTCCTATTTTTTAAAAAAGCTTTGTTTCTGTCAAGACTTTCTCTTTCTCTTTCTTTTTTCCCATATGGAAAAAAAGCTAGAGGGTATGCTGTTAAGTTACAGTTGCCTGTTTTGACTGCTTAGGCAATGGCTTGCTCCCATATTCTAAAGTGCATTAAAGTAGAAGTTTGGCCAGAGTATGAGCTGTTCCATAGTTCTTCTTCCTGACATAGTATGCTCCAATTACTATAGTCTATAACCTTTGCCCATGAGAGGAACTATGCATTACAGCTGTAATTGAGGATGTAAAGAAAAGAGATGGGACCAAATTATATATAAATATTTTAATCTTATTAAAAACATCTTTGAAACAGTAACAATGATAGTTTAATTATTTCCAGATAGAAACTGTTGCATGTTCATTTTAGTAATGTTATTTTATGCCTATCAGGCACCGATGTTCTTTTCAATGAGAATGATTTAATCAAGTCACATTGTGTTCGAACTTGTGAGACTTGAATGCACATCCCTGTTTATATCCACAGAAACTCACTAGGTGATATCAGTCTACTTATTATCTCTCAGTTCACCATTTTTTGTGAGGATAAGTGTAGGAAGGGTGATACAGAATTGTGATAGATAAATGTCTCCCTAGAAATGTCTATTTGTATACTTTCTTTTCTGTTGTCACACTCAGTTCTTGCTAATGCATACACTCCATATTTTATGAACTTCTATGTAGTATCTGCAGAAAACCATTGACTCTTTTATGTATTTCATTTTCATCTCTTACAGTGCCGGGAATTATATTATTGTGTAAAAGACAGCATGGAGCGAGCGGCTGCAAGACAGCAAAGCATAAAACCAGGTAAGATCCTTTAAAGGTATAGATAAAATGTGACAAAATGTTTTTCAGAGTTTTGGGGTGTACATAGTACTTTAATATAGCCTGAAAGTAATGCTATTCTATGTACTCAGGGGATGCTGGGGCCCAGAAAAAATCGTCTGAGATTCTGGATATGTACCATGTAGAAGTTAGGAAGATAGTGTACTTGGACTTTAAAGAACCCTATAATACGTAGCTCTGAATATGGAGTTAGATAGAGTAAAATGGCCATGTTCATGTGAACAAGTGCAAACCTATCAGCAGACTCTGAAAACTTTGATGGTCTTTAATTCTTGTACTTTCCACACTTACAAAGGAAGAAGGATAAGGGATCCTCTGTAAAGGGGAATAAAAGTCTATAACAATGGTTCCCAACCTGGGTCTCCAGATGGTCTTAGACTAAGACTCCCAAAATCGCTTTACCACTATCTGTGCTGGCCACGATTTCTGGGAATTGCTATCCAAGACCACCTGGGTACCTAAGGTTGGGAAACACTGCTCTTAAAGGTGATAGGGAGCTGTACTCTGTACTTTGCAGTTGTAGTCTCTTGCAGTGGTCCCCAACCTTTTCTGAGTCACGAACCAGTTGGGGGGTGGGGTCTGTTTGCGGACGGCAAAGCCTGCTTCTGTATCCCAGTGAGTTTTATACTGTTTCATCTGTGCTTATTATGCAACTCCATGCTATTGCTACAAAACTTTTCTAGTGCTATTTGAGTCTTCTATAATATTATGTATCTATGCAGCTGTGCAGATTTTTTAAAAATGCACTTTTTGGTTACATTTTTAGCTGCCTATGTAAATGGGAAAGTTAAAGAGGGTCAGGGAATAGAGAAAATGTTCTCTAATTTTGGTTAACAAAAAGTGGACCCTTTCCAAAAGAGAAGGTGGAGCAGAAAGGATACCAGACTACATGTCCAAGCTAAACCAGCGCCACTCAATGTTCAAATGGAAACATAACATTTATCTTGGCCATGTTGTAAGGACTTGCACAGCAGCAGCACAAGCAGCAGAAAGGACATCACATATCTTGAGGAAAAATGAAAAATGAAAAAGAGAGATAGGGATCCATAGGTAGTCATACTTGGGAATTTAGTGACTCCAGACTTGTCACATAGATCTTCCTTTGCATCATGACACTATTGTGTAAGTGATCTTTCCTGTGTTGTTTTCCTTTACTGCAGAACTTGGAAGACTGTGGCATGCATTGTTTTGGGAAGACAATTTTCTGCAGATATATTAATACAATATGCTGTATTTTTCTATGCTTGTAAATCATTGTGGATTTGGTACATTTTTCCTCATTTCCCCTTTTATTTCCTTTTTTGCATTTCAGGTCCTGAATTAGGTGGGGAATTCCCTGTGCAGGATATGAAAACTGGTGAAGGAGGGCTTCTTCAAGTCACACTAGAAGGAATTAACCTGAAATTCATGCATAGTCAGGTAACCCTTCAACATGAATATTTGAGCATGAAGCTTCTTGAAGCACACCAGTAAATGTGTTTCCTCTTCCCTGTATCGACAGAGAGAAGGGCTTCACATATTTTTCTTCTGCAGGTAGGAGAGTTCGGTTTTAAGAGAGATCCAGTATACTTAGAAACAGTGAGATAGTGGTTCTTAAGTAGGCAGAATCTATAAATAGCCAGTGTAAATAACGGCTGCTAACAAAAAAGACTGAAAACAGAACAAATAAATTTAGTTGCTCTGAATTAAAATTAATATATAATAGGGATGTTCATTTAATATTTTTAAAGGTAATGCTATACACAAAGAATGTCTATTTAAGTGGGAAAAGTTCAGTTTTCATGTTGGGCATTTTATATTAACATAGCACAAAGCATATTAACTAATCTTACAGAGCAATTCAGTCACCAGTAACTGTGGTGTGTTCATGTCAGTTTTCATTTTTTGTGGAAGAGACAATCAGAATTGACATTCTCAACTTTTTTTAAAACAATCTTGTTTTTGCACTACGTGTAATTGTTCTGCTATTTAAAAGTGAAAGTGGTCAATATGTCAGAGAAAGAGATATTTTCTTATACAGATGCAGGCATATTGTTTGTTCCTTGTTTAAATACATCTCTGGGTATAGAGGAAACACAAATGGAACTGTGTGTCACTTTGTTCCTTTCTCTGGGTGTGTTCTCTTTTTGCTTCTCTTGATCATTGTTTTTCTTTTGCTTTGTGTTCTTGTTTGTTTTGCATATGTTTTTAGAATCAGTGTTAGGGCTGTGTGTATGAATGCATATGTGTGTGTGCATGAGAGAGAGTAAAAGAGAGAGAAGGAGAATTACATTTGTTAGTTTGTTGTGCAGTGTTCTGTTTTATTTGTAAGGGCAACCTCTACTACTGCCCCTGAGAGTCATGGGCTGAAAATCAAAGAAGCTGGATACATGTGCATGGAAGTACAGTGGTGCCTCGCACAACGAGTGCCTCACACAACGATAAATTCACACAACAATGGCTTTTCCTGAAAAATTTGCCGCCTCACACAACAATGTTTCCTATGGGGAATTTTCGCACAATGATGTCCCTTTTCGCTCCTGTAAAAGTGCCTTAAACTGTTAGAAAAGTGTTTTCAATGCTTGCTATCGTTAGCCCACCTCCTGAAACCTATGCAAACTTAATTTGGTGTTGTTCTGAGTCTTCGTTAATTTTTGGTGATTTTTTGTTTTCTCCATTGAAAGCCATTGGACGGACCGTCCAATGGCTTTCAATGGAGAAAACAAAAGATCACCAAAAATTAAGGACGCCTCAGAACAACACCAAATTAAGTTTGCATACATTTCACAAGCTGGACTATCGATGCCAGGCATTTAAAACAGGTTTCAAACAGTTTAAGGCACTTTTACAGGAGCGAAAAGGGACATCGGAAAGAGCTTCAAAAACAGGGAAACGGAGATCAAAGAGCCCTTTCCGATGTCCCTTTTCGCTTCTGTAAAAGTGCCTTAAACTGTTTGAAAAGTGTTTTAAATGCTTGCAATCGTTAGCTCACCTCCTGAACCCTATGCAAACTTAATTTGGTGTTGTTCTGAGTCTTCGTTAATTTTTGGTGATTTTTTGTTTTTTCTCTCATTGAAATGCATTGGACGGACAGTTCAACAGAGTTCGTTTCAAACAGTTTAAGGCACTTTTACAGGAGCGAAAAGGGACTTCGCAAACCCATTCAAATGCATTGAGTCGGCTTCAATGCATTTCAATTGGGGAACCGCGTTTCCCTCAACGATGTTTCCTATGGGGATTTTCGCTTAAGGACGGCAATCCGTTCCAATTGGAACGGATTAACTGGTTTTCAATGCATTCCTATGGGAAATGGTGTTTCACAGAACGATGTTTCACAGAACGTTTTTTTTTAACCAATTAACATCGTTGTGCGAGGCACCACTGTAATATGAATGCAGCTGGAGGCTTTTTTGAAGTTTCCACTGCAGCCACATGCTCTGTTCAAGAGGCAAATCTCTGTCTAATTTGGGCCAACTATCTGTCTGGACAGTAGTTATACCTTTTGTTTCTCATCAATCAGACTGTTCCTTTCAATATGTACGAGGGTATGTAAGCATAAACCACAGACAAGCAGTGACCAAATTTCATTTTGCAATCCTTACATACAAATTTGTATGAATTACTGAACTTCTAAGTTATAACTGTATGTTACCACAGCAAATATGTTGTCCCAAACTTGTGTATGCCAGGATAACAGAATTGCAAGAGCTGCGGCACTTATAGAGGAAGATTAGTTGGCAGGAATTCTTTTCACTGAATACCTCCCACCACCATCCATTTCTCCTTCTTTATGCCTTAGTTCTGAGTCTACCTGGGGGGAGATGATTAAAAACAACTTAGAGTGAGGACATCTGCAGGAGAGGAAAAGGTTTGGTCATCCAACTCTCAGTGCTGGTTCTTTCTTGAAAATCATCCCATTGTCTCATTTTAATATTCAAGTGCAACTCAGAAATAGTTCTCTTGCTTGTCTCAAAACATGTCCTTCCATTCCTAGAATTGGAAGCATGAACACAATGTACATTTTCAAATATATTTTATATACATTTTACTTTTCTGTGTGTTTACACTACTTGCGTGGAATGTATTCAGTTGTTTTCTTGGTCAATCTTTTAGTATAACACAACATTTCTTAACATTCAGATAGATGCAGTAAATACTGTCATGGCCTATTACTATTATATCACTGTGAATTAAACAGAATATTTCACTGATACTGGACTTTTGTTCTCCTCTTTCTTTCAAGACTTAGGGCAGAACAACATTTTTGAAAGACAAATGTGAAAGTAACTAAGTTAACATTTGATATAAAAAGTAAAAACCCCAGTAGCAACTAAATAAAAATCCCACCTAAATACTTTACATCATATATGCACCCAGTAAATGGAAAAAAAAGTGGGGCTGCACTGTTAGTCTCCATGTGCTTTGTAGATACTATTGTCTTCTCCAGCCTCCATGGTTTGGTCTGCATTTCTTCCTGCTCCAGACTCAATATGTGTTTTGTAGTTTGTCGAGAGGCTGTCAGTGAGTTAGGTGTCTGGCTGCAGAGTCAGAGGTTGGGAGTTTGATTCTCCATTGTCCCTCCAGTAAGAAGAGGCAGCCTGTGTGACCTTGGGCAATTCCAAGGATGCCCCCTAGAAGATGGGAATGGTAAACCACTTTTGACTACTCTCTATTATATCTAGAAAACTTTGGAAAGTCAGAACTGATTTTACAGCACATGCTTATAATTATTAATGCACCTAGGCTCTGCTCTCACAAACCTGTGTAGATAGCAGAATTTGTTTGTCATGCTCCCTCACAGAGCTCGCTCTGGAGAAGACTGTCACTTTGAGTAGAACTATGTGACAGAAGATTGGTGCCAGAAAAAAGAAAGAAAAGGAAACCTGTTACCATGGTTTGCAAAGATTATAAGACTGTATTGCCATTGCTTAAAGCGTTGTGCTAATAAGCTAATAAAGATAAGCTTAAAAGAATATCATAGAAACTTTGTAACAAGAATTTAAGTTGTGAGTGAAAAGAAATAATTTTCTGGTTTTCTTAGAAAGAAAAACACTTATCAGTATTTCACAACTACACATTATATCCAACTAACTTTATTATGTTCTCTGACACAGTATACAGTGTGGCTTTGGATTCTTTTAACAGATCAAATCTAAGCAAGTGGTCTCATTGCAGATGAGTCTTAAAGAAGCTTAAAATATTAGACTCTGGGCATGGAAAAGCTATAGTAAACTTATAACTTACTTTGTGCCCCCCGATGGACTTTAAATGCCTAGAAAATCTAAATTTATGTCTATATTTCTTAGATAAGATTAAATATTCTATTGGGCTGCTTATTCTTATCAGAACATAGTTGAAATAGTAGAGGAGTAGAGGAGGATCATGACATTGGAGAAAAATTAATAAGCTTTTCTCATGGAGGTAACCCTTGGCTAGTTCTTCTACTACAGATCATCATGCAATGTGCTGAAAAAGTTGAGAATGCAACTATTCTTCAGTTTACCCCACAGTCTGTGCTGGAGTTGGCACAGTCAAATTCAGTGAATTTTCCATTGACAATATGATGTACAACCAATCGCAAGTAAACCCGATCTTTTTTCATTGGCATTCTTTGCTTCCTCCCACCCCGAACTGACAGGAGTGAGTGGGTTGTTTGTTTGTTTTGTTTGTTTGTTTTTGTAGTAATTGTGCTTGCATTATTTTTTGTTATTTCTGGCAATTGCCTATTTGGGTAGTGGTGAGCATGTCCTAGAATGACACTGATGGTAGGGTGTCTTTAAAAAAAATTAGTGAAACAGTATTGAATTGATATAACAACTTGCAGACTACAATGCTTATCTAATATAGCACTAAACTGGAAAAACATAATAAAAGAAATCGTTCAAAGGAAAGACAAGAAGTGCTAACCTGAGGGAGACTGCCTTTATCAGTATAGTGGGAATATTCCCCTTAGGTGAGCACCTTTTGCTTCTCCAGTGAACATTATTTTTATGGTTTTCAAATATAACACTGTATCAGATAGGCACTGATGATTCATAAGTTATTATTCAGCACTATGTTATTTCCCTTTTTTAAAAAGGCAGGGAAACACACAGGGTTAATGAAAGAGGATAGTGGCAACCTATGGTCACCATGAAAATTGTAGCAATTTGAAATGTGGTGTGGAGTCTTACCCCGAAAATTAAACACTTTTTGTGAACAACGGTGGTTTAACTGTCATAGAAAACTTCAAATCAACCTGGGAAAGCCTCTGTGTCTAGTTGCATCTTAACTAAGGTTAATCAGCCAGAAGCAACAAAAGTGGGTGAATAAGGCTAATAATCCCAATCAAGTCTCAGGACTGTAAAGGTAAAGGTAAAGGTTCCCCTTGACAATTTTTGTCCAGTCGTGTCCGACTCTAGGGGGCGGCGCTCATCCCGCTCTTCAAGCCATAGAGCCAGCGTTTGTCCGAAGACAATCTTTCCGTGGTCACATGGCCAGTGTGATTTAGACACGGAACGCTGTTTACCTTCCCACCGAGGTGGTCCCTATTTATCTACTCGCATTTGCATGCTTTCGAACCGCTAGGTTGGCGGGAGCTGGGACAAGCAACGGGCGCTCACTCCGTCGCGTGGATTCGAACAACAAAAGATTAAGTGGGTGAATAAGGCTAATAATCCCAATCGAGTCTCAGGACTGTAATTTGTATCAAAATCTATTTAATGTGTGCTGGTAGCTTTTATTATATTTCCCATTTAAACAGAAAAATGGGTTGAAAAATCTAAGTATATACAGAATATTTATCTGTGAGAAACTAATCTGACTCACCATAGCAGACACTCAACAATATTGAGTGTCTGCTATGCAGACTGCTAATATTGTTGAAGATACATAGCTCATGAACATAAAACAAAACAAAATTTGTATCAGTTAGGGTGATAGTATATGGGAGTTTAGGGAAGAAGTAAAAAGAAGAAACCTATCATGATAGTTTCAGTCTGAGCTCTGAATCAAGATTATTTTTTATTATGGACTGCCTGATAAAATTGATAAATCTATATAAAATTTAGAGAGGAAGAATGAGTCTTGGTAACATTTTCTTAGAAACAAAGGTTCTGTTTTTGAGAGAGAAACTTCAACATAATTCCTAAATGTTTTCTGTTGCATTTGAATGAATGGAATTTGATTGTCTGTAAATCTTTGAATCTAGAGATTAGAGATTTAGCATCTTATTATCCTTCTGTTTAGAACTGATTATATATCATATTTCCTAAACTGTATCTAGACTGAATAATACTAATAATGAAACTGAAATGTCCTCTTACTATGCCCCTTTACCAATGCTTGTATCAAATCATGTTATAGAATGAAAATGTAAAGACACAGATTTCCAGAGAAAAATGTTACCATTTTTGTTGAACCAGAGATCAATAAGTGAGGTGACTATATTATGTGAGGCATTCAGAGCATCAATTAGGAATTTATTGTTTTAAGCAGTGGCATTAAAAGAAGGCAGATAAAGGAAAAAAGAATGAAGGGCATAGTTACGTAGATGGGGAGCAACACATGAAATGAACTACCACAGATGATTATAGTAATTATTGATTGCAGCAGAAACGCCAGATGTCTTTATGTGTAAATGTCATTGATCAATAAAAATGAACATCATAAGCAAAATTAGTGTGATATATAATGCTCATTATATAACCTTTAGCTTAAAATTTCTGTATTGAAACATATAGAGCTATGGGTGAAGTGAAGACACTGTTAAAGGAACAGATCTTCTCTTCATACACCAACCCACCCCTGGTACTCTAATACATACCTCCTAAATATGAATACTCCCGTGAAGTAATTGAGAGTAGTGCATATGGAGGGAAATAGAGGTTCTGGTTAAGATGCAAAAAGAGAGATCATCATCAATGTGATCAGAGCTTGGTGAAGCTGGCTTTTTAATGGTCCAATCTTTGTATCACCCAGCACAGTGCCTCTGCTGGCTAGAGGATCCTGGGAGTTGTAGTCCATGGCAACCCTTTTAAGAATCCTCTGCCCACTTTCTGATAAAACATCTTCATAGAATTCCAAGAGTGATTCCAGAACAAAAGCAGGCAATTATGGTGGGCCCAGCAGCTAAATTTCTCTCCCCAGCACTTGTAATCATCATCATCATCATCTTACACTGCAGAGCTGGAAAAGACCCTATGGATCATTGAGTCCGGCCACTGGCAAGGAGGCACAGTGGGGAATCAAACTCCTACCGAAATCATTGATTCAGCAGTTCTTAGCATTTTCATTTCAGAGATATTATATATTTTATATGCACTCAGTGCAATATCTTTGCTCTGGTAATCATAGTTTCCATTTCTAATTAATCTTACACCGCAGAGCTGGAAGAGACCCTATGGATCATTGAGTCCGGCCACTGGCAAGGAGGCACAGTGGGGAATCAAACTCCTACCGAAATCATTGATTCAGCAGTTCTTAGCATTTTCATTTCAGAGATATTATATATTTTATATGCACTCAGTGCAATATCTTTGCTCTGGTAATCATAGTTTCCATTTCTAATTAGCATACCAATTATGATTGCAGTAATATGTCTGTACTCACATGTCATAAGTGTTTATTAGGTAGTGCTTAATGAGACATTCTTCCATTTTCTTCAATATTGGGAAACTGTTAAAAGTTTTTTTAAAGCATTGCTGCTTATTTTTTTAAGAGGACAGATATTCTTGAGTGTACATTTAAAGACAGGATGCTCATATACCCTGTCACCCTGAAAATAAGATCTAACCTGAAAATAAGCCCTAGTATGATTTTTCAGGATTCCTAAATGTTTGTAATATAAGCCCTAATATAAGCACTAATTCCTAAATGCTTGTAATATAAGCCCTACCCCAAAAATAAGCCGTAGTTAAGTGAAATCCCACCCTCTGCCATTGTGCAGCTACCAGAAAATGACATGACTGTATTTGAATAAATGTAGATTGTTGTACATGAAAAAATGAAACATTCCCTGAAAATAAGTCCTAATGCATTGTTGGAGCAAAAATTAATATAAGACCCTGTCTTATTTTCGGGGAAACACGGTAGCTGTGTAAAAACCCTTTTTGTTGATAGCCATTTTGTGTAAGGTTTTTTTTTCCTCTTTAAAAAGTTTTCCAGTGCTATGCACTTTTCAGGTTTCAGGTTTATTTGGCTTTAAAGGGGCAAAACCTGTCACCATTCTATTAACTACTTCCCTTGCTCCAGTTACCTCCCAAACCACACTCCAGCATCAAGGCTTTCCATTCCTTGAGGATGGCATATCTTAAAATTACCAAATTTTATATGCTAGCACAAATACGCAGATAAGAGAAAAGCACCTTGGAAATTTTGTATGTAAAGAACCCATGACTGAAGTGTACATATTGTGATTTGTCTTCTCCATCCTTTTCTCATATACCACTTATTGTGCTCACCCTAAATGAAACAACTGTAGTTACACTTTGTGAATGGATGTGTGAGAAGATACTTTGGGTATTGAATAGGTCTTTACAGTGAGAAAGCTTGCTTATTTCCACATTCTTGTTTTCTGGGTCAGAGGACTAAAAATCTGGTGCTTCACTTTTCTTAAATTTAGCTTGTTTTTAGAACTATGTATCAATTTCTAATTTCTAAATCCTAAGTAATGATAGTGTCAGGTGTGGAAATACAGCAAGCTACTGGCTTCGGTGGGAAGCATGGCACCTCTTGCCTGCCCTCTGTGCTGGAGGAGGATGCATGGAGAGGCAGACATTTAATGGAATAGGACCACAAATGACAGACCAAATTTGGGAGCCTTCTTGTCTCTCCTTTTGTTACATTTCAAGGTGTGTTCATTTTTCTTTTTGTTGAGTGCCTGAAAGGGGTAGCATTGTTGGATATGTCAGAGTTACTAACTCCTTCATTTCTCTTCCATGCTTTCTCCTCCTGCAAGGAGCGGAAGGTACTCCATCTTCTGCTGTCTTCGCTTCTTAGCCTTTTAAGTTGTTTGTTGATTTTTAGCGTTGTGGCATTTTTTTTCAATATTCATTTTTTATATTCCCCTTTCTTTTGATTTAAATAGTAAACTATAGTTGAAATGGTAGTGTGTGCTACAATTTTCCAAGTTATAACTGCTATAGTGTGCTTTTTTGATTTTATTTTATTTTAAAATAGGGTCTTTATTTGTATTAATTGTGGTTTCCCCCCTATTTTCTTTCAGGTTTTCATAGAGCTGAATCACATTAAAAAGTGCAATACAGTGCGTGGAGTCTTTGTCCTGGAAGAATTTGGTAATTACATTATTTTGATATTAGGTCTGTACTCACATGGCAGTAACTCAAATTTCAAGTCGTCTTGGTGAGGCAGAGCTGTCTTTTCTAGATTGTAGAGACTCCTTGGGAATGGATAAGTGAGTTCAGGATAAAGAAAAGTAGCATAAGGTGTGTCTGATACTGGTGATAAACCAATTGAGCTTGTGGCAGTGTTTGTCTTAGATACTAAGAAAGATTATTAAGAAAGATAGGGATTATTTCAAAGGGTGTAAATTACAACATTGCTGTCTAAACTGCTGTATAAGCCAGGGATCTATGATGTTTCTTTTCTCAGAAACATGGATGAGGTGTGACAGGATATTAACACATCACAGGATTTACTGTTTTGAAAGTATATTCTAGACTATAAATGTTATGAAATAGTAAATTTTCTAGACTGAAATGCTAGAGGCTTCTTGTTGTATGTGCTGCAGAAGCCTAATATGTCCACCCTTTTTGTATTCGTGTCTGATCTCCCGTGAACTGAAACTAACTATGAAACTTCTTTTTTGCTTCTTAAGTCAACTGTATTAACAGTGGATAGAATAAATGCAGTGTAGTAACTGATTCTGTTTTCAAGGAAAATGTTTTGTGCTAGGAAAGGAAATGGTAGAAAAGGAATAGACAGTGGACTGAGAGCTTGTCTCACAGGAAATGAGTGCAGAGTTTTACTCAGACTGATTTAAATAAAAGAAGAAAGACTAGATGGCACTCCTCTATTGATAACTCATATTTGTTGTTGGAGTTCTATGGAAGGTGGGGCTGGAATATATAGAAAAGTATTACTCCTTCTGAAACTGTACGTATTTTCAGTAATCTTTGCAAATTATATAAACTGGTACAAGTCCTCAGATAGATATGCCAGGGCTCTGTGGGAATTTATAAGCAACCTACACCACATATTTAGTAACACTGACAAGTTTTGTATGGGATTGACACTAATTTGCAGCTGATGATTCATATGACCTCCTAGAGCTATTGCTGGTGTGTTCAATCATCCAGAACCTACACAAAGCTTGAATGGGTATTATTCCTGAAACATCCTGTGCTTTACAGGGTACCTTAATACTCCCTTTCTGCTTTCTAAGCACTTCTATCTATGGCAGGGGTGGGCAATTAATTTCTATAGGGGGCCACATGAAAAATCTGAACTGTGTTTGGGGGCCGAACCAACTTTACTTAAAAATGAAATGAAACAGTGATGCTATGATTGTTTTTATTTTAAACTTGTTAAATCTTCACAAATACTAAATAATTTTTGTGGTATATTAAAGATAACCAACTGATCAACTTTAGACAAAAAGCTAGAAATGGTTTTGATGTTCAACTTGTTTAGTGAGAGAAATCCAGTCTGTCTTGGGCTTGAACAAGTACTTGAACACTGGACTGGAGCGACGACTGGCGGGCCGGACAGGAGCAGCTCGCGGGCCACATGTGGCCCTCGGGCCGCACTTTGCCCAGGTCTGATCTAGGACTTACTTTTTTTCTACATTAATGATTCTGTGTTTTTCTAGTACTTAGGAGAGAATTTGTTAATTATCTCAATCCTTGGTTTAAATTTATTCAGTTCTTTCAGAACATTTTGGAACTTCAACTTCATTCTTAAGCTTATTTATTCAGAGGCAAATCCCATTGTATCTAATATGAGTTAAGTCCTAGTAAATGTACTCAGGATTGCAATTTGAATGCAACTTTACACAGTATGTGTCGGTATTTTACTGCCACCAGTTATCTTTCTATCTCTAGAGCCTCTTTTGAAAAGTGTGTCCTTTCTGGCTGAAAATACATTTTTTTTTCTCTTGTAACAGAACACATTATTAGCCTTAATGGAAAGAAAATAAAGAAGTAATGGCAAAAGAGTAGAGCCTAGCTGTGCTGAAAAAAAGCAAAAAATGACTCTTTAAAGAAAATACAATAATTCAACTACTTATGTCATAGAAAAAAATAAATATGATATAATGTATATTTAAGGTATATTTAAAAAATTAGTCATAATTAACAAGTATTTGATGCCTTCTGCCTAGTTTATCCTAACACTGTGCTTGTTTCCCTCTATTCCCTGTTCAGTTTCATTGAAGCCACTACAGCCCCATCATATTTGTTGGTAGTTGACAGCAATAGAGTTAATTAGTCCTTGTAAAAAGTTAATAAACCAAATTGCCTCAAAATTCACCTGATTATTTGGAAGTGACAGATGAGGACAATTTGATCACAGCTTTCCCACACTTGTGAATTTGGCAGGCGGGAGAAAATCTGTAGTTTATCTTGGTGGTATATGCCTTTTTTACAAGTGGATTAGGAAACTCTGAAAAGGTATAATCTGCTTGTAAACAAGGGTTTATGTGCCTTGAATCAAAGGCAAATTGCTGCCTCTTCTACCCCAGGATGCTTAAATTTTGCCACAAGAATGAAGCATAAGAGTGGCAGCCAAGACTACTCTGAACGGTTTACAACAACTGCCCAGATTGGCAGGGCAGTTATATGTTGCCCCAGTTAACAATCTAGTTGCGGCATTTTGAACCTACTGGAGTTTCTGAACACTTTCTAAAGGCTGTTTCATGTACAGTGCATTACAGTAATCCACAAACACTGAAACCTAGACATTCAGGCCGAGATGAGTCTAGGAGAACCCATAAGCTGCACACCTGTCTCTTCAGTTGGTGTGTAACCCCACAGAGGACAGGCTGAATCCCTATTCCTTGATATGCCTTTTGGCTGATGAGGAACACCTCTGTCTTGTCTGCTGATTCACCCTCATCTAATCAATTACTGACACCAGACATGGAACTGAAACCACTTCTTTGGATTTAGGTTGAAAGAAGAGTTAGAGTTGGGTGTCATCTGCGTATTGGTGACACTGAACCCCAAAACTCCAGACGCGTCTACCAGCAGTTTCATGTAGCTGTTTATTAGCATAGGGACAAAACAACAGCCAGGATGTCAAGCAGTGGTCCCCCAGCATCACTCTCTCGGTTCTCCCCTCTAGGAAGGACTGGAGCCACCATAAAACAGTACTTCCAAGTTCCATCCCAGAGAGATGGGCCAGAAGGATACCATATTGAAAATCTCTGAGAGGTCCATCAGAACCAACAGGAATACACTCTCCCTGTTTAATCCCCTGTATAGGTCATTCACGAAGTGACCAAAGCAGTCCATCACATAACCAGGACAAAAACCAGATTTTTCTGGAGCCCAGAAGCCACAACCCATGATAGCACCTTGCCCAGGAATGGAACATTAGGGAATGACTGATAATCTAATTTCAGAAACTAAACAGGGTCAGTCTCAGCTGATACTGGAAAAGGACACCATCAAGGAATGTCAGGGATCTCCAGATAAGGATTGGAGAGCATTCTGCTTGAAACTCTGAAAAGGTGCTGTTAATGCTGAGCTAAATGGCTCAATAGTCTGACTCAGAACAAGGAAGCTTCCTGTGTTCTTATGGCATGTCATTTGTCATTTGATAAAAAAATATTTTAACCACTCAGTTGGCCTTTTTTGTGATACTCTGTGAGTTCATGTCGTTTCATTTAACTTTAAAGAATTTCTGGTTCTTCAGCTGAAGCTGGAAGATGAAGAACCTCTTCCATAGCTCCATATTAAATGTCTTACTGTATTGCGAAAACTCTGCATAGAACTATTTTCCATTTATGTTAGATCTATAAACTCCAAAGTTAGAATAGTTCATGTAGTATCTCATAATAGAACAGATAACATAAATCACATAGATGAGAGCAAACATCCCATTACTTAAATTTGTAACATTTCTAGTCTTCCATCTTGACAATATGAGTGGATAAATTTTAAAGCAAATAAATCTTAAAGATATTTCCCAGAATCCTGTTACTTACATATGCTGGTGGCGTTAAGTGCAGCAGTGAACTGCCACTAGTTAAGGAGTCACAGCTCTTGTTCCACATCAGATTTCAAGTCAGACAGCTAGTGCATGATGAGGAATACAACTGCTGACTACAGAACTAGCAGCAATTTGTTACTGTGATTTATGCCATTACACTTATGCCAGTGTCAGGTCAGGGATTCTGAGCCTGAACATTTCCCTAAGAGCCATAACATAACTTTTTAGACATCTAGGGAAAAATCAGAAGCCTGTGTTAGTCACAGCTGGCATTATTCCGATTAAGGATTGATTCCAGAATGAAACCAGACAATCATTTCTAATCATATCAAAATTCATCTGAGTGTAAAGATACTAGTCTTTTCATTGTTGTGATAATTCCAGGCAACATCAGCTTGTCTAATTCTACAAGCTTTCTTTATCTACATTGCTTTAAGCAGCACGCTTTGCTTTGCTTTGCTTTCATTATGACACAGATCCAGCCCCATGAAAAAGTTATTATAAAAATACAAAAGTCTTATGGCTATGGAAACATAACCATCCAAAAGTCTTATAACCATGAAAAGCTGTAAATAAGAAATAATCCAAAAACAAATTTTAAATTGTAGGCAGAAATTAAAACACAGAAAAATAAAGGAGCTTATAGCCTAAAAGAACTACGTTGGAACAGCAGAGAATACATATCTTTTAAAATATAAAAGTTCTTAACATTAAAAACCTATGAAAGTAAAATATATTACTTAGCCTTTTAGCATAGCTAGACACACATGAAAATTATTCAGTTCGCACACTGCCAAACCAGTTTGAATCTATGGAGAGAAATCCATGTTGATTGTTTGGCTGACTTTTGGAAATGAAGCCTGCTACAGCACTACTACATGATCATTGCTGGTTTCAGGTGTGTATGGCATGGTGTGGAGTTGCCTTGCTGTCTTGTGTTGAATGTTGATGAGTTGAATTTCTCTCTCTCTCACTCGCTCTCTCCCTCTGTGTGTGTGTGTGTATGTATTGTTTCCCTAGATTTATAGTTTTTTCCACTGTTTTTCTTTCCTTTCAAACTGTAAACAACCTTTTTTCCAGGAACCTGAGATCCAGGGGGCTTGAACACCAAGACATTTTTTAAAATAAGAAATTCTATTGTTGATGCACCAACTGCAACTTCAAAGGCTTGTAACTCAGAATCTGGCAAGCTGCCATTATGACTATAACACCATTGTTTTTATTAAATTTTTGCTTGGAGGACTAAAGACCTATAACACCAGAGTCCAGGAATGCCAGAATATTGCAATTTCAGAGAGTGCAGGATATGAAATCTGGAAATGCCATTTCCACTGCAACATAAACATGTTCAACTATCAAGAATAGAGATGGGGGTATTCGTATTCGAAAACAATATCCCCACACAGGTGGCGTTAATGAGGATCCAGCCCCATGAGTCCAGACTGTCCACTCACTGATCTGCCACGGATGCAGATGGCGCGATTCTGCGAATGACTCTGCAGCACATGATCTGCTCGCTACTCCTGGCAGGAGGTGGGAGGACAAGCCTTGCTGTAAGGTCAAAGAGTGGTGAGTGGATCGCATGCTGTGGTGTCATTAGTAGGATCATGCTATCTCCAGTGGAATGGTGAGTGGACCATCTGGCCCCACCTGTGAGGGGATATTCTTATTTGAATACGAATACCCCTATATCTAATCAAGAATGTTATTGTAGAATAATCTTGCTTGGGTGAAGGGCAGGATAATTGTTTTGGAATGATTATAGCACACTATCGTCCAACCTCAACTTTTGAAAACAATTTCATTTTCAGATATACTTTTTCTATACCCTTCTTAATTATTTTAACACTCTATACACAGAAAAATTCATATCTGGGCACTGGTGTAAGCAAGCAATAGTATTCTGGCCAAATGAGAATAAGTGCCCACCCATCCATTTATTTTGCCCTGTCCATCAGCCCATTATAGTGTCAAAATATTAATACTTTGCCTTGGAATGTGCTAGCCTGCTGTCCTCAGTTGCAGTGAAGAACAGTATTCCATTGCCATCCTTGAAGCAAAATTCTACTGCTTGTCTTTTGCCATCTATGTGTGATATGGAGGGAATGTTCCTGCCCCACTTGACCAGTGGAGGCAGGAAGCCAGTCGCAGCACCAGAGGCAGAGGGGCTCACAGACTTGCAGCAACCTGTCAGCTGCTGCTGCTGCTATTGCTGCCACCACCATTGCGTGGCAGAGGTGATGCCAGCCTTCACACACAGCCCTATGCCTTGGCAAGCCCACTCTTGGCTGGCTTCCTGGGCTGCTCTTTCCCACCTAGCTCCTGAGCCTGCAAGGCTCCCAATTGTTTTAAACAAAATGCATGCCCTAGGCAAAGGTCAGAAAGGTGTGGGGCAACTCTTGAAGGGAAAGGATGTATCATTCTAAGTACAAATACAAGCAGACAAGGTCTTTTTTCCATGCTAAACAGTGCCATCAAGGTTCCATATATCATAACTGTTTGCCAGTGTGGACAGGCTCAGAGCATGGCATTCCAGCTACTTCTGGAAAACTACTGTACATATTGTCTGCTATAGTGTACAGGGGTGCTCAGAGTGTGTATGCTTGTTTAGGAAATATAAAGACTAGACATTATTAACTGGATGTAACACATGAAAGTAGCAATACAAGAATTGTCAAATTTGCTAAGCCTTCTTTCTAATAGGAAGAATTTAAATTTTGAATAGCTGTGCAAAAGGATGTGACTAACAAGATTACACTATAGTATGACGGTATATACCTTTCATTTTGCAATGTTTGTCTTTTTTTTCTCATGAAAAATTCAAATTTATTCTTCTGAAAAAACATAGACATTGGAAATGGGGTCTTAAGGAATATGGAATATGGTGCACTACTAGGAGGAATTATTTAGAGAAAAGGAAGAAGCATCAGGTCCTTTGCTCTGAAATCTGAGTTACTGCTATGTATCTATGCTTTCTATTTTGTGGCCTCTTCATTGTCGCTGCTATGAAAACCTTCATTCTCCAGCAGGTAAAGTGATGCCCATGATCCCGGTGCTTTCTTAGTATTTTATATTTTCATTCACAGTGCAGGAGGCTGCAGAAGTGCACTTATGTACCTGTTACCCTTCATCCTTTTGCATAAATCAGACATTATTATGGGTGGGATAATAATTGGTCTTGAAACTGATTTTCAAAAAATACTTTGTAGTTGTAGTGCATCATCATCATCATCATCATCATCATCATCATCATCATCATCATCATCATCATCATCATCATCA